AGAGGAAGAGCGTGGCAAACGTCTCTCCCTTTTATCATATTCTTTCTTCCCTCTTGGCTTTGCCCCTCCCCCCCTTCAGAGTCAGGTGAGCATTTCCTCATCGCGGTCCCAACTGACCAAGGGGAGGGGGGTGACTCACTGGAGAGTCCAACAGATCCTTTGTTGCTCCCTAGGCCAGTGTCCTTTGTTCCTGTGAGGCTGGGCTGGGTTGTCCCATACATGCCCTGATGAGGTGTGAACTGCCCCTCTGCTCCTGGAGAGTTTTGCCTGGGCTTGTTTTAAGCCATGAGGACACGTTTTCAGCCTCGTAACTATATACATGAAATTACAGCTCATAACATCACTATAACAACACTGCTCAGTGCATCATGAGCCTTCCGCAGACACCCGACATGACAAACTTTGCGCTGGATACCACACAATCATATTATGATGAACACAGGGGTGCAGGGGGTTCCCCCGAGGTACGGAGTGTTACACGGACCCTCAGGCCCCCCCTTCCCCATTCTGCTCCTGGAAACAACTCAGCCTCGGACCTCTCCCTGCCTCTCCCTGGAGCGGGCTTGGTGCTGGTGCTGTGTTGGCATCTGGGCACTCGATTCCCTGATTCAGCCGCAGCTCCCTTTGCTTGCCTTCCTAGCCCTGCCCCACAGGGCCCCTGCGAGCGAGGGGGGGCAGCTGTCCCCTGGGCTGGGCTGAGCTTCCAACGCCGACCTTCCAGTCAGGGGCCAAGACTCCCCTGACTCCAGGGTCTCCAGTGGCAGCGGAGGGGACCCCATGAGTGGTGGGTGGGGGGTGCTTGCTTCCTGCCCTGGGGCTCCTGGCTCTGTTGCTGCTCAGTCCCTGAGGGGGAGCTCTGCAGGGGTTGGATTTGGGGTGCAGCCAGTAACTGAGCCCTGTCCCCCCCAGCCCATGCACAGATCCGCTGTGACCAGCTCACCATGGGGCTCTCCTGGGTGCAGCTCTTCCAGGACACCCACGCGCAGCACGGGGACGTCGTCGCCTTCGACGTGTTCTGCGGGGACTTCAACTTTGACAACTGCTCCTCAGGTGGGGCCTGGCCCAGAGGAGGGCCCATGGGGTTGGGGGGAAAACCCATGGGAATGGGCAGGGAGCTCATGGAGATTGTGGGGGGAGGAAAGCAGCCTGGTGGGGTGACCAGGTGTTGCGGAGTGACAGGGTCTGCTCCATGCCCAGCCTGTAACCCATCCCTTGGAAGTGACCCCTCCAGCGTGCCGCACCCCAAGGGTTCACACACTTCCCCACGGCAGGCCCGTGGCCTCCGACACTCCTGGGCTGGCTTGTCAGGCCCCAGTGATCCTGTCTTGCTCCATGGCTCCCTGCAGTGAATCCAGGCACACCTGTGTCTCCTGCAGTCTTCCAGGAGCAGCAAAGTATAGAGGGAAACTGAGGCACGTATCAGAATCATAAAAATATGACAGAAAATTTCCATCACACAAGGAGCAGAGGGGGAGAGGGTGGCCTGGAAGGGATGAGGGAGGGCAGATGGGCCCATTCACTCTGCTGGCTCTTTCCAGGGGATGAGTTGGAGCAGACCCATGACATCTTCCGCCAGTACCAAGACCCATGCCGAGTGGGGCCCAGGCAGGACCAGCCCTGGGCCATAGGTACGTGTCTGGCCGGCCCAGCGCCCGGTGCAGCCTTGCTGCCCTCTCTGTCTAAGTTCCGCGGCGCCGGGACCCTGTCTGGGGCTGCAGATAAACATCTAGATCCAAATCCTCCCAGGGACCCAGCCTTTGGGAGCTCAGGGTGAGACAGCGGGGGTCAGGGGGTCAGAGGCCCTGCTAGCCTAGGCCTGCCCCCCAGCTCTGCCCATGCCCCTCCTGACCCGGAGCTCCTGCTGTCCCAGCCCTGCTCCCCGCCGCCCCCCCAGATCTCTGCTGAGGTACCCGTGGGTGAAGGAAGATTTTGGGGTGGGGGGAATGGCTCTAACTGCTGCTCACGTCCCTGCAGGCACCCTGCTGAACTACCTGGAGATCCACGAGGAGGCCGTGTCGACCCCAGAGAAGCTGAAAAGGTAACGGCTGCACCCGCGGGTTCCGGAGCGAGGGAGGAGTCGTCCAGGGGCCCTGCGGGTTCCGGGCGCTGCGGGAGGGGGAAACGTCCGGGGGTTTCTGCAGGTTCCGGAGCACGGTGGGGGCAGAGGGGTTTACAGCCCTAGGTCAAGGCAGGCTCTGCCCCCGCCCCCACACAGGTTAATGGGACACTAGGGGCTACCCTCTGCATGGCCCTCCCTTGCCATGCAGCCCATGTGTGACTAGCCCCCTACGCAGAGCCCCGTTCCTCCTCCCCCGCCACTTGGCCCCCTCCCCCCACCCTGCTGACGGCTCCCCGTGCACCCCGCAGGACCCTGGAGCAAGAGGAAGGCAGGCGGACGTACCTGGCGGGTCCCATCCTGCGGGACGGCCGCCCCGACCCCTCGGCAGCAGGGAGCCCCTGGGAAGGGCGCCGCATCGACTACATCCTGTACCGCGAGCACCCCGCCCCCATCAGCCTGACAACGGTGAGTGCCCAGAGGGGCCCGGGGCCCCGCCAGCCTGGGCCCCACGGAGCGAAGGGCAGGCCCCAAGCCCAAGTGCAGGAGAGCTCCCAGCCAGGGACGCTGGGCCCGGAGCAGGGGGTTCAGCTGAGACCCAGCTCAGGGGCCAGCTGCTGGGGGCTGGTAGGGCCGCGGGGGCCGTGCTGGGGAGGTGGCTGGGGCTGGCAGCCGCACTCGCTACGTCGGATCCTTCGGGGGCTCTCAGCAGCTCCCACGCTCCGGGGGCTCGGTGGTACGGTGCCGTGGGGCCAGGCAGCAGGGGGCTGGCCTCGCTCAATCGCTGCTCAGGAGCAGGGGCTTCAAAGAGCTACTCAGCACGGTCTGGGGCTCCCTGGAAGGGTCCGAGCCGGGGGGCCTGGGTTCTCTGCAGGCTCTGACCCCAATGTGCTGCGAGATGCTGGCTGGGACCTCGGCCCCGCTCTGGGCTGTTCCCTGCCCTGCAGTGGGGGAAGGAGCCTGGCCTGGCCATGGCCGGGAAGGGGTAGCGAGCTGTGTCAGTGCTCAGCGTTGATTGAGGGGAAGCTGCAGCCCATGGAGACTACAAGTCCCAGCCTGCACTGCTCTGGCTCAGCCAGGCCTGGTGCATTGCATGCTGGGATCTGTAGTCTCAGGGGACACCCCCCCTTCATTCTCCGGAGGGAGGGGGAGCCTGCTGTGCTCCTGACACTGCTGTCCTCTTGCTTTGCCCAGGAGGTGGAGAAATTTTCCTTCATCACCCAGCTGGCCGGCTGCTCAGATCACGTGGCTGTGGGGCTGCGGCTGCTCCTGAACCCTGCGCCGCAGTAACAGCAGCGAGTGTGAACCCCGGTGTAACGATGTGGCCTCTGGCGGGACACAACTGAGGGTATCAATTCAGGACAAATTGCTTAGAACAGGGCAGTTACAGCCCAAAGCTGGGGGTCCTTTACAAACTAAGGCACCAAACCAACCAGAGAGGACTTCAGTTTACCCCACTGGCTAACCATAAGTTACACAAGCAATTCCCTCAGACACTCCAGTTCCCCAGTATCACCACCAGCAGCCACTTCTTGTCGGGATGACTGGTTATGAAAACCAATACCCCAGTAAAAGAAAAGAGGTTTTCCCAATCCCAAAGGACCAAGCCCCAGACCCAGGTCAAAATACAAGTCAGATCTTACCCACAAATCACGCTGTTGCCAATCCTTTAGAATCTAAAATCTAAAGGTTTATACATAAAAAGAAAGAAATATAGATGAGAGTTAGAATTGGTTAAATGGAATCAATGACACACAGTAATGGCAAAGTTCTTGGTTCAGGCTTGTAGCAGCGATGGAATAAACTGCAGGTTCAAATCAAATCTCTGGAACATCCCCAGCTGGGATGGGTCATCAGTCCTTTGTTCAGAGCTTCAGTTTGTAGCAAAGTCTCTCCAGAGGTCAGAAGCAGGACTGAAAACAAAATGGAGGGGTTTCCAGGGCCTTTTATATCCTCTGCCATGTGGAAGGACCCCTTTGTTCTTCTTGTGGAACATCACAGCAGCCAGGTGGAGTTTGGAGTCACATGGGCAAGTCACATGTCCATGCATGACTCGGTTCTTTACAGGGAGAGCAGCCATTGCTCACATGCTACCTTGAATGTTCCCAAGAAGACTCCTCAGATGTGGATTGGAGTCTCCCAAGGTCCATTGTCAGTTAAGTGTTTCTTGATTGGGCACTTAATCTGAATAGTCCCTTCTCAAGAAGCTGGCCAAATGCTTCACTGAGGCTACTTAGAATCAAACACATTGAGATACAAGTACAGAGCCAATATTCATAACTTCAAATACAAAATTGATACACACATACAGACAGCATAATCATAACCAGCAAATTACAACCTTTTCTTAGACACCTTACTTGACCTCCTTTGTACAAGATTTGGTGCAACTATAGGACCTTGGTTGCAACAATGATTTATACGGTCACAGGAGGTGGAGAAATTTTCCTTCATCACCCAGCTGGCCGGCTGCTTGGACCACCTGGCTGTGGGGCTACGGCTGCTCCTGAACCCTGCGCCGCAGTGACAGCAGCGAGTGTGAACCCCGGTGTCCGGGGCAGAAGATCGATGGAGAATCCTTGTTATGGTGGGGCTGGGCAGGGCCCTCCCTGTGCCACTTCCCCCGACTCGGACAGTCTGCGAAGCCCTTGGCTGGCTGGCGCTGGCTGGACCAAAGGACTAGAGTTAGGGTGGGGCTAGAGTTGCCTCCAGGGGCTCCGCTGGTCCTATGGGAGGTGGGTCTGTGCTGGCCAGGAGGCCCAGGACAGGAGACATGCTTGTCCACTGCGCCCCCTCGGGCCGGTGAGGCCCAGCACCCATGGGTCTGGGCTCGGGACCTGTGGGGGATCACTGGGGTGTGGAGCCACCTCAGTTTCCCCTATGTGGGGCAGGGTTAACTAGGTGGGGGGGATGTTGGGGCTGACCACCAGTTACCTTGGCCTGTTATTACAGGATGGTCTGCGTGGAGCTAGTAGTGAACTGACTTTGATCGCTGACTGGCTAAACAAGTAAAGAGAGAAGCTGGGCCTAGGAGCGTTACGTGTGGGAATAGAAAGCAGTAGTGTTTCCTGTCAGAGCCTGCTTGTGGCTGAAAACACCCCCTGAGAAAGAGATGAGGATAAAAACGGCCGTGAGAATTGCTTTAGACGACCAGTCTCACCTGCGGACCTTGTGGGTGCCCAGGAACTCCCCACGCTGGAGCAGCGCCTGCTACGAGCCCTCAAGGACCAGGCTGGTTGGTCTGGGAGTGTCCGTAGCAGAAGGGGCGTAAGCATTGATTCTTGCTTGCTTGCTGGAAAGCAGGTATTTGATAACGCGTGAAGGCTGGGACGCTTATTATACTTTGGCAATAAAACCGGTTAGACTTATACACCTGGTGCGGCTTCATTGAGTGTATCCGAGCCCCCCTTTTGGCCCGACAGGGAAAAAGGTTGTTTACTCTTTGCAGAAATCCAGGTGTGACTGACACCGGGCTGTCTGGTGCAGGGGAGGTGGGGGGCAGGCAGGGGATATAGGGGGGGTGAGATTGAGCCAGAAAGGGTTAAGTAACCAGCAGACGAAATGACCCAAATTTAACCTTTAAAGACGTGTTAGAGAAGTATGTAAATGGTAATTGTGGCTATTCCTTATAAATAGCAAGAGAGCCGTGGGGAACAGACTAGGGCTTGGAAACGCAGACCTGTGTTGCTAGAGAATTAGAGGTAATACTAATTGTATGTGTTAGATGTTACCCAGGCGAACAGACGGTTCCTGTCTGTCACAATATTCTATTGAGTCAGGGATCAAAAAGGGAACAGTTGGGTGTAATAATTTCATGGTCTACGTTTCTCTTTGAAGTTTGTAGTAAACTGTCAATGAACTGCTCACTGGAGAATTACCTTGTGCTGGTGAATGCAACTGGTCACCGCTGCATACATAGGAAATAGGTAATTCTACTTCAAAGCCACAAGGCTTCGCCCAAGGACTGCCTGCTGTCAAGGGGCGTGAATAGCCTGCCAGAGAACTATGAAAAGAACTCGGGAGCCCTGATCCTGGGTCTCAGATCTGCTTACGCCTCGCAAGACTGAGGTCCCCAGCTCCAGTCTGGGTCCCCCTGATATTGGACATTGGACTGAACCTATGGTCTAGTTCGGAAAGGACTCTGTGCACCTCTGAGCTCACCAGCTCTGCTAAGAACTCGATTCTTGCCTGTATGGAGAATGATCTTTGAACCAAGACTCTCTTTTCTTCAATAAATGTTAGTGTTGTTAACAAGAACTGGCTGTAGCGTGTATTTGGGTAAGATCTGAACTAGTCATTAACCTGGGAGGTGATGTGTCCGACCCTTTGGGATTGGTAGAACTTTTTATATGATG